AATGTCATTCACATTTATTTTCAATTATTTTAAAAATTATTTTTATTTCTTTTTCAATTTAAATAGTTGATGTTTTATTAAATGCAGCCTAGTATATAAGTTATATTGTATGTGTATTTTATGTAGTCGTACAGTTTAACATCCTGCTTGGATTTCAAACTTAATAATTTGTAGTTGAAAGTAGCAATTAGATACAGATTTAAAATAAAATGCAGCATTTGGATAATTTTTAAGAGCAGAAAAAGTTATCCTTTCTTACAGCCAAGTCATTAATCCTTATAACATAGAGACTTTCTTAAAAATTAAAACATTCATAAGGTTTGATTAGTTGGGAGTTTTTAGTTGGTAATAAAAGACTGTGGATAGAACTAAGGTGTATAAATTTTAAGGTGCATAAATTAGAAAAATTATGGGGGGAAACTGCATTAATAGTCTTTAATTATATTCTTAATTTTTGCAACTTTATTTGAAATACAGCTATTCACTAAGCTATGGCCTTAAAAATACATAGACTTATTTCTTTTTTAGTGTCATAAAATATGCATCCCATTGATCAAAAACTAATGCTAGACAAATGCATAAACCCTTTTTTGGAATTTGGCCTGTCAGGTATTTTTTACATTTTGATTCATAATGTCACATTTATGGCAGCTTAAAGGTTTTCTTTTTCCTTAAACCTTTCTAGCCAGTACTTGATGACCTTCCGTGCTGTCTCACAAGGAGGCAGACTCTTTTTTAAAATATTGCAATGTACATATATCAAGTTAGTAGATCACAGTTTTAGATTGAATTCAAAATTAAACTTTTAGTTAAGGAGTTCTTTCATATAAATATTTTCTTATTTCTCTTTTTCAAAACGTGTCCTCCTAACCTATTATGCATTTAATTTTAAATTTGTAATAATGATGATTCAATGGTGAGGTTAAATACCAACTATGTAAGCAACAGATGTAACTTAATCTTCTTGAACTGAAAAATAAATATTTAAATAATATTGAATTGTGGCACAGATAAATTATTTTACTGTAGAATGAATTATTGCCTACAATAAATGCAGCTGTATACACTGGAATAAAGTATTTTGCAATTAAAATCATTATAGTACATGCTTATACAATGATATTTTGAGGTAAGATATTTTAATTTTGGTTTTTCGTTTTTTTTTTCTTAAATATTGTTTTGCTGTCACAGAATTTGCATTAATTAGTTGTAATTAATGATGACCAAAAATACCTTCAGTATCCATTTAAAATATTGTATCTCAAAGCTATTTACTCTTAAGTTAACTTTGTATTTTAGTGGGGGCTTATGTTAAAATTGGTAAAGTGTCTTTCTTTTATGCACAATGACTATTGAATCCTATGAGTACATAACTTCCTCGGGATTACCAGAGAAAATGAAAAAAAATTTCAGCTTCTTGCCTTAACTAAAAATGAAAATTGTATATGTCATGGTTTATTTCAAAGATAAGTCCAGTATTTCAATGATATAGTCTACAAAGCTCAAAACCTCTGCTCTACTGCTGTATTTATGTCATAAGCAAGTTTTAAGTGAGACTTGGAACAAATATGTTTGCCTTTGATATGGTGCTTTTGCAAATATTTTATAAAATTAGAGTTATTAATGACCAGGAAATTAATAGTCACAATAATTTGTATCAGTAATAATCAGAACTTGAGTTCCAATTTCAGATTGCCTCAGCTGCCCTTTTTTCTTTTGCTTACTATGATTCCAGAAAACTCCAAAGGTTTCCATAACATGGTGATACAGCATTTCAGTTACCTAAAGGCAGCTGAATCAAATGATTTATCCCACAGTGCATGAAAAGCAAACTCTGAACTTCAAGTGTATCTGAAAGGACTAGAAAATAATGCTTATGTGGGTAGGAAAGATTACTTCAATACTTTAAGGAATGCTCCTCTAACTTCATGCTTGGAAAGACTATCTGTGTTTCTATTCACAGAGCAGAGATGAGTTGAAAAAGCCTAAAACCCAAAGGTTTAACAATATCCAGCCCCTGGAACTGCAAATTGGCAAAGTCAATGTAGAAACAAAAAGTATGCAATTAACTTACAAAGTGAGGCACTGAAACCATTTTTTAAAGGTAGATTTTTGTATCCCCTAACTACTTTAAAATCCAACCTGGAGAATCCCCCCTGCCCCCAAAGGAATATGGTCTAGTTTGAAACAGTATTGAAGGACGGCATTTCCAAACTCCTGCTTAGGTTGGTCGTAGCAATACTTTTTACTCTTATAACGTACAACTATGAAATTGATAGATTATGATAATTAGAAAGCTTAAAAATTAGTCCATTCATCATGTTTCCATGAAGTTTCACTTGTTATTATGGAAATCTTAATTTTAATTCTGCCTGGGCTTGTTTGTTCTCAACAGGTCTCATGTACACTATATGAGGATTGAATGAAGGGAATCAAAGACTGTAGTAGGTTAACACTGATATTGCAGGCGTTATTATTGCAAATATCAGCAGAAAGGCTTATTATCAAGGAATTGACTTATTAAGTCTTTCTCTTGAGTGCATTTATGTCTCTAATGTCATAGCTTTGGCCTCAGGCAGCATATGATCCTATCAAAAGTACACATATGCGCAGAACATAGAGTTAAAATATTTAAAGGGACATCATCAACTTGAGAATGCTTGAGTGGAGAATATTGTACTTGCTATTATTAATAGTTAAAATATTGGAATGGAAACGGTATATATTCACCCCAATTTTTAGCTCCACTTTTTGTACACTGCAACGTGTGAATTGAATTGAGTTTATTGAATGTTGTTGGTGGAAAACATCCCTTCTGGTGCATCATGTGGCAACTGCAAAGCTTAGGAGAAATGGATAAAACCCAGCAATGGTGGAGAGAGACAGGCAGACACTCCTGTGCCTCACGAGGCACATTGGCTTAGCAGGGCACAAACAGGATGTGCTCCTCTGCCCGCATTCACAACTGGAGACATCCAACCCAGAAGTTGACAAGTGTCCCTTTAAGTAGTGCACGTAGTACTAGTGGTATAGCTGGTTAGTTGTTTCTTTATGATCCTTAAATTGTGTTTGTATGCGTGCTAATATTCCAAAGGTTTTAAAATCAAGAAATATTTTAATAGCAATTGATGAGTAAACTCTTCACTGTTTTTATAATAAATTTATAACAAAGTTTTAGAAAGACATCTCACTTTCAGGGGAACTCTAAATAAAACTAGTCTAGCAGAATGCTTGCTTACTAAAATCTCCTATGAATGGAAAGATGCACCCACAACATCATACACTGTCCTTCTGAGGTGGAAAGCACTATATAATCACTTAAGAAATTCTGGTGTGTAAGAACTTCACTCCTCTATTTTAGCAGCAATTCTCCATGAGTTTAACGGTGCCAGTAACTTGTGTGAGGACTCCAACATGCTGTCTGTTCTCTTGCCCACTCCAGCTGTGTCCACTCTTCACTTCCACTCTACCATATGATAAAGCTGTTATTATGCTGTCCCAAGGTGACGGTATTGTAATGCCCATTTCTGTTGGATCTTAAAACAATTTTCCTCATTAGGGCAGCACTCTTTATGGAGTTCAAGCATCTTAGCTATTATAGTTGCTCTTTATAAAAAGCATGTGACTTTTTTCATGGCTCGCTTCATTTAACACAGCGAACTAAATAAAATAATCAATAATTGATTGACGAGAGAGAATGAATGTGGTTTTGCATGAATACAGTGAAAGTTTACTTGCACTGATGTTTTTACATGCCAGGTGCCAAGGTGTTCTTAGGAAAAGCATGCTTTCTCTGAGTGCTTTAATTCGAAGTAAACAACAATATTAACTTCTTTGGTTAATATGTAACCTTCAATAGAGGCACCTAGTGGTATGCCTGAAATAATGTTTTAAAATTGTGTTCAGAAATATTAATAATGCAAAGCTATTGCTGAAGAGGACAATGCAATGAAAACAGAATGTTTTGGATAGAACTTTTTCTTGCCCATAATTTGGTAAATTAATTTATTGAGAAGTCAAGAAAAACACTTAAAATCATTTGCTGAAATTTCCAAGCTTTGGGGTTTGTATTAAGTATGTAGTTCCTTAGTTTTGCTTCTAACAAAAGCAAACTGATTTGTCAAGGTATCTGATTCTATAGAGTCAAGAACAATGAAGGGGACTCAATAGCACTGAAAAACATGGGCAGATATTTATGTGTCTAGCTTTAGCTGTGCAACTTCAAAAACACTGACCTAGTTTCTGAAGATAGTTTTAAGGCAAAATATCTCAGTACATATTTTGACTGTTCTGTTTGGGCAGATTAAGATGAAATAAATAATAATAATTTTTAAAAGCTCCTCTTCTCCCTGTACTTCAGGTTCCAATTTTCTTAGTATTTAAAAAATAATATTCAAGGCAATTTATAAAGCAATCAAGACTGACAAGTATTTATTTTTCTGTGTTATACTTGGGTCTACTGAAGTTTACAGGTATGGTGTTTCCTCATTTTAACCCTTCTTTTTTGATAGTGAAGTAATATTTTTTCAATTTTAAATTGTCTCAGTTGCTGTTAGTGTGAAGGTGAAAGTATTTTATGACATCTGTACTAGATCAAACAGAAGGAAGAATGGATTATTTAATCATGTTTCAGCACAGTCCATCTTTCTAGCTGCAAGCAATAAAGACAAAGGAACACCACATGAAAATTGAGTAGCATCTTTCTGAATTGGATGTGTTTACATTTGTATAGTCCTTTAAATCTTTAAGCACCATAGAAGTACAGAATTATGTTAGGAGTGACAGAGCTTTATGGAATGTTAGAGCCTCTTTTTCCAAGTTACTGAAAATATGCAATATTCATTAAAATCCTGTCGAAAACAGTTAGTATAAAGCTATTCAATTTTTTTAGGTGGAATAATATGGTGCCTACTATTGAAAGTGTCACTTTTCTGCCTTGTCATCCATTGTATTATATACAAGTGCAAAAAAAAGTGAGCCTGATTTGTTCTCCTTTGTAGAGCCAGGCCGAGGCCCACTACAAAGGAAGTAAACATGCCAAGAAGGTCAAAGCACTAGAGGCAACGAAAAACAAACCCAAAGCTGGTTCTTCCAAGGACAGCGCAAAGGTTAACACGGGCTGCTCCGCCACGCCAGTCACAGCCAACATCTCTGACAAATCAGGTCAATGGAAACTTTTTGTTCTATACATCCTTTACTTTCTACCTTTTTTGTGTTTGTATGAGAGAATTTGGTTGCATGATAGTGATCTATAACTTCTCTTTTCTAAGCCATTTACTATGCTTTCTTGTACAGAATCGATTTCTTTTGGTACTCTCAAATTGCATTGCCATGTCTGTGAAACAGCTGGTGCCTCTGAATGCTGAAGTGTATTTTTTGAAAACCTATGAAATTTACTATTAAAAAGTATGGATATTCTTATGGCAATAGTGGATGGATGTGGGTGAAGGGTGAATTCTGAGGTTATATATTTAGCTGAAGCACAAGAAACCTTTGTAAGAATTCTTTCCTTTCTGAATAAGACAATGTTGCTCTAGTAGGAAAACACACCCACAGAAATATGAAGCCTCGTGGTCTGGGTATTTCCAGACTTTGTTAGCTCATTAGTGCTTCAACATCACTTCTTTTTTCTTTTTTTTTTTTTTAACCTTCCAGATGAGTAATCTGAGGAAGGTCAGCAACACTAATAGCAATGGAATCGCTGACAGAGTTTCTGCTCTGTCAGTGTTGTATTACTGAATGAAACAGGAGACTTTCATGAACTTGCTGACAGTGTTATTCAAGAGAAGGCCCCTACTGTGGATTACCTGACTGACAGTCCAGTAGTCTACTGCTGATAAATTTGCTTCTGCCTAGGGAAGCAAATTTATTATCCTCTTCACCAGAGCTGATCTTGACTCGGGTACCATGAGGTGAATAACAGTTTTTTGAAGTGCGCATTAAAAATAAGGAAAAAAAAGAACCAACTCAAAAAAAGTATCAGTGATTATTTGTCATCCTGATGTTTTTACAGCAGCTGCAAAACTATCTGTGGGTCCTTAACAATGACAGTGGATGCCAAATTTACCTAGCAAATCACATTTTAGTTTTGAGAGATGAGCTAAGTCCAAGTAGCATCTTCAGGTAAACAAGACATGCTGGTATAAAACAGTAGCAATTTGCCATTGATCTAAATATGAGGTGGACTGCTGAACAGAAAAAGATTTAACATAGTTGATAAATATTTTGCTCTCTGAAATATTCAAAATAGCTTTAAGATAGCTTACTGCTCCAGGTGTACATGAGGAGAACTCAGACAACTGCCAAAGTAAAATGTCAGTTAAGACTTTAGAGGATTTAACATGTTAAGAATTCATCTGTGGTAACATAATTTTATAATGCCCTCCCTCTTCAATGCTAAACATTGAGGTCCAGATAGCAAAAGTTTCATCATCTTTTTCAAACTCCATCTTCCAGAAACCATCTGGAGCTGTTTTGTGTTTCCTTTGCCAGACTATGAGATCTGAATTGCATTAATTCTTTTCTTTCCTCTGCAATGTATCTAAAATCTACATTCAGTTTTTGATAAAATAATACAACAAGTCAAAAGGCAAACCTGGTCTTGATATTTTTTTTAATTCCCCTGTTTTGACAGTGTGTTGTTATGCTATTAATTGCTCTGTACAAATTAGACAGATTTCCATCTGTGTTGGTTGGATTACACCACTGCAACTGTTTCTACATTAAAAATAAATCCCAGTAGCAATTTAGTTAAACACTTTCTTCCCATCAGGAGAACAGTGGTATTCTCTGTGTCTGCTGTGCAGGAGACTGAGGATGGGATGTTTGGGAGGAAAAAACCTGAACTTGGAGCAAATTTTCTGTATTTGTAGGGAAAGCTGGTCACAGAGGTGGGGAACAACTTGAAGGCTGGGGGTTTTACCAGACTTGGAACAAATAATAGTTTTGTTCACCTACATTTTCCCTTATAGAAACTATTGCCCATCTATTCTTTGACATATATTTATGTCCTTAACATAATGCTTATTGCAACTGAAGCACTCACTAAATTGCCATTGGGTAGTGTTTTGGGGTTTTGGGGGTGTTTTGTTTTGTGTCTTCTTTTGGTTGGTTGGTTTTTCTGCTTTGGAGCAAAAGATTAACATATACCTTTTTTCCTGACAATTCTGAATTGTTTGACAGAGCTTTTGTTCTCTGAGAAATACGCTAGTACTAGATATTAACTTTTTAGGAATATTTTCATTTTCCTTAGAATATCTTTAATACTAAGAATTTCAGTTCATGTGTGTATTTGTCTTCTGTTTTTATCCTGATTTCCAGAGGAAATGGTCATATCAGCTATTCCTATCTTTGTTATTTTCTGGTTGTGTCTTCACAATTTAGACTGCATTGCCTCGTGTGCAAAAACAAAATAAACAAAAAAAAAGAGATGTAGAGATTTTAGCCCTATAAGTCATATAAATAAGTCCTATAAATCCTTTTCGTTTGATGAAAATTGGCGCTTAGGTAGAAGAGAAGTCCTAACTTATGGTCTATCCTGAAAGATGCTCCCATGTGAGCTCTGTTTTGCTTGACCTGCTGACTGACCAGGGACTTTGCCTTCAGGATGGGACAGTTGTGTATGTGTGCTGTAGATCTGAAAAAATTGCTTTAGAAGTACATAAGCTAAATGAAATCACAGAAGAGAATTAAATTCCATCATTTGGGAAGCTGTTTAGCCATTGTACTTTGGAGAGTTCCTGAGAAATGTTGGTGTCCTTTTCTAGTGTATGGAAAAGTGGAAAGAGAAGCTAAACAGAGAAGACAATTACAAGTTCTTGTGATCTTTTTGTATTTGTGTAGTTCTGTGGGTATTAGTGCAGAAAGAGTAGGGAGCATTACAGTAAAGTGATAATCTGCAATTATTCTCTTACGTAGGTCTGCTAATAAAGGGGCACAACAGACATGAGTAGCACCCTTTCTAATGTGCTGTCATTTTGAATGAGATAATGATGAATGATTTGGAGCTCTCCAGACAGAACACTTGTTAAATATTGAACTAAAATGTCAGGTTAAGTTTGCTACAGAGCCATGTGTTCTTTGAGTCAGACATAGCATGAAGTCCAAAACACTTGCATGTCAGAAGTCACCACTATAGTACTAAAAGGAAAAATCATTTCACTATTAGCTCAGCTAGTGATGAATCTATCAAAGGCAAAATACAAATTAATCCTTATTTTTCAAAACGTATGAAGCAGTAGTATCTCTACAGCTGTTCCTTTCAGCTTGAGAAATGTGGCTGCTGGTAGAGCGCCACAAAAGTTAAATTAATCTTAAAGGTTTTTTGGGATATCTCCAGAAGAATGTGGGCTCCTGTAGACAAAAGTGGCCTCAGCCAAAAGGAAAGGTGTAACTGTGGTCTGAGCATGACAATGCCCACATCGTGAGAGAGAGTTCTTCCCTGCTATTGTTAATAATACAGTGTGACTTGGAAATGGCATTTGTAAATTAATCATCAGCAAGCATAGAATGATAAAGCCATAGTGCAGGAATGGTGCAGGTGGCTGCACCCTAAGTGGATATCAATGGGTTTAACTGAATAGGTTTGCACTCTAACTTTGTTAGGCTACTGTGTGATCTCATTGTCTAAGCTTACAACTCCTTGCTGTTCAGAAAATACTTATTTATTGGTATTTGTAAATACAACCACCCTACCCCATTCACTCTGCAGATAGGAAAGAATCACCACAGCTTGTGTGACAAAGTTGTTGCCCTCCTACTATAGCTGGGCCATCTCTGCTTGTCCTGATAGGTATTTGCAGACTGGAGGTGGCCATAGGGCATGTATGCATAACCTGTCTCCCACACAGCTTCTCAAACCACCCAGGAAAGGTCCAGTAAAGGCTATATTACAGTTTTATATGCTAGAAAATCACTACTGTGACCCTGCAAACTTTTTTGTAGCTGCTTTGATAGTGGTTACAGAACAGCTGTGCTAATAGCACTGGGAGCTGCTCTTGCTGTGGTGGGTTGATCCTGGCTGGATGTCAGGTGCCCACCAAAGCCACTCTACCTCTCCCACCCTCAGCTGGGCAGGGGAGAGAAAATACAGCAAAAAGCTGGTGAGTCAAGTTCTGTCAAATAGAAGGGAAACTTCTGATAGCTTCTCACAGAAGCCTTCCCTCCCAGTGGAAGCCAGGGTTTTCAAGATGGCTACACAGAAAGATACATCTGTGGATGGCATTGCTTTGAGAAAGGGCAAGGGTAATAACAAGTACACAACAGAGTTTAGAATATTTGAAGTGTGGTTTAAATATAGCTCTAAGAATGCAATAGAAGATGGTGTCTGTGACCCCAGGTCAGCATAGTCTAGATGCTTACAGTGATGAATCCTTCAGGAATGCATATGATAATGACTGGATTGAAATGTCACTGTTTACTTATCAAGCAAAGAAGAATTCTTTGATCTTACTTCTAAATCAAAATAAATAGTTCAAAATGAAGCATACAAATGATGTGGTATCATCTTCTTTGCATTTTGCTTTGATATGAAAATTGGAAAGTAAATGCAACTGTTTTAAACTACTCAAGAGTCAAAATCATATTTGAGATTATAAAAGATAATCTTTTTTTGGCCTTTGATCATTCACTGCATGCTCTGTTGGCTTCATGCCCATTTGTGAAATGATAGGTACAGGCATTTCAGGTTCAGTCTTCATTGCAGTAAGAGCAGAAGACTCTGCTGTTTGGGAATTAGTAGATAGATATAAACGTTTGGATGCTCTTTGAAACCCCATTTTGTTCAGTTGGTACAGGAACAGAGAATATTACACTCCTAACTAGGCCAAACTCTAGAACCTGTTTTAAATCCTGACCCTATGTACTACAGCTTTGCTCTGGGGCCCTGTCTCAGGACAGCTCAACAAGCAGTGCACAGGGTCATAGTGATGGTATTCCAGCATATGAGCAGTCCTGGGCTGATCTCCTGTGTATGGCAAGAATGGCAGGAAAGGGCTGTGACTGCAACGTTTATTGCCAGTTTCGTGATCCTAAGTGTGTCCTGTAAGAGTTACTCCAGTGGTTACAGCTGCATAACTCAACATAGCTGGAGGTTATTCTGAGGAAAGTTGTCATGCTGGAATGTGGCACAGTGTCTGACACTGAGTGAACTAGATCACATTTGG